TGGCTGCTGCTCGTCGCTTCTTTTTGTTTGTTTAGTTCGTTAGTTTTGTAATTTCCTTGTAAGTGCGTGCATGCATGAATATGCAGAAGGCGCTTGATCTGGGATTTTGGAGGTTCAGCACGTAAGGCAGTTTTGCGTTATTTTTTTTTTTTTGATGACTTGAAGAGTGGAGGAATCGGATGAGTAGAATGAAGACAGCTTAGGACATCTCAAAATGCACGCTTCTTTCTAATGTCTGAACTCCTGAATGCATTGTGTGTAGGTAGATGGTATACTCGGAGCATGCAAACCGTAAGCCCCTATGGGATCCTTAGAGAATCATCGAATCACAGAATGATTTGGGTTCAAAGGGATCTTAAAGATCACCTAGTTCCACCCCCTGCCATGGGCAGGGACACCTTCCACTAGGCCAGGTTGTTCAAAGCCCCATCCAACCTGGCCTTGAACACTGCCAGGGAGGGGGCAGCCACAGCTTCCTGGGCAACCTGTTCCAGTGCCTCACCACCCTCACAGTGAAGAACTTCCCAATATATAATCTAAATCTACCCCCTTTCAGTTTGAAACTGTTACCCCTCATCTTATCACTACACTTGCTGATCAGGAGTCCCTCTCCACCTTTCCTGTAGGCCCCCTTTAAGTACTGGAAGGCCACTATAAGATCTCCCTGGAGCCTTCTCTTCTCCAGGCTGAACAACCCCAACTCTCTCAGCCTGTCCTCATAGAGGGGGTGCTCCAGCCCCCTGGAGAAGGTGGCTAATCATCAGTTGTTCGTTACTTGTGCTAACATCAAAAGTGACACCAGTAGCCCCGATCAGACCTGGGGTTTCATTTCCCATATTAAACAGCACCATACCCAGAGAGGAACGTGGCAAAAGGTAAGTCACAAATAAAAATTTTTTTTAGTGATAGAAGTAAGGGTCAGATCTTTCAGTCGTGCTCAAATCACTTATTTCCAGTGACATCATGCACTGTATGGTCTGACTTTCAGCTATAGTTATCTTTTAACACAATTATTTTGTTTTTAGTCAATAAATTGTGAATGTTAATTTTCTGCAGCTGTTTAAATTGCTGTATGTTGTGTTACTCTGCTACATAACTGGAAAAAAGTAAATTTAAGGCAGTATTGGTACTTACTGCTTTACCTTATCAGTCCAGTGTTTTCATTATGTTTTTGTTTTATGTACTGAAGGTGACAACAGAAGTTGGAAAACTTCTTGGTGAAGAAAAGGTGGATGCAATCTTGTGTGTAGCAGGAGGATGGGCTGGAGGCAGCGCAAAAGCTAAATGTAAGCCTTTGGAACGTGTATGCTAGTGAACACGTGAATGAAATCCGAGAGGAATCCTTAAAAATCATGGTAATAAAGATATTTGAGATCATCTTTCTTCCTGAGTCCAGAAGGGGACATCAGCATAGAAGTACAACATAGCTCAGTCACAACACTTCTTAGTGCTTCTCTGGCTTTTTGCCGTCTGTTAAATTTGTACAGCACTTGGTATTCTCAGTAATACTTTTTGATGTCCCAGTTTTCATTGGAAAAATCTTGATGCGCTTTATGAAGGAGTTCAGCTTTATAATCTATGAACTAACCTTTGCCGAGGTTACCTGTGTCAGGCAAGTTATGTAAGACAGTGGCTGAGTAGGGACAACAGTGTTGCCTCCTGCAATTCTCTGAGCTATTACTCAGTGCGATACAGTATGGGAAGGAGCTGTCTAATGACCTGAGATCATGCTACAGAAAAAAGCTTTCAATTTTAAAAAAGCTTTTAAACATGTAATATTCAGAATGATATTTTACACTTTACCTGCTAGTGTAGAGATACAAGAAAAAATAGTAATTTTTTCTGTCGAGTAAATATGGTAAAGTGTGCCCTTTTCTTCCGTTTTACGGTTCAGACATTACAGGCAAAAATTTCTTTTAAAGAGAGACAATATGGAAGGGCATGCACGCTTACACAACAGTTACCTTCAATTAGACGCTTATTGATGTGCACCATATTTGAAAAGCTTGTTAATTTATCATAACTGTGATTTATAGCTATGTTATTGGTACGGTAGCAAGATAATCTTGGGATAGGAGTCATCTTACGTGACAGAGTTACTTATCCTTATTCCATCTTGTGTTATGGAAATGGTTCTTCCTGGGTACTAAACTCTTTGACAAGGCTGGTTACTGGTTTTATTCTTTTCCCATGCAAATATTGATAATAAAAATACAATTATGAGAGTTCGAATTTTGCTTTCATGGGAAGTTACTGGTGTACCTCCCCCAGTGGGCTGCCTTACCAAAGGTTGCTCCCCAGTATGCAGGGGCACCGCAATGCACGCTCAGTCCGGTGCAGATGCATGTGTCTTCAGTGTTCTGTACCAGCATACTGCTGTCAGACAGACAGAATGTTTCTCGGTTTGTGAAGTAATCTGATGATAAGAAATAATTTTTGTTCAGTTCCTTTATCTCTTGGAGTCTTTTATTTGCATACTAGTGGAGTGTAGCTCTTTTGCAGCCAGTGAGGAAGTTATGGAAAGAGGAAGATTGTACTACTACAAGGTGAGATGAGGCTAATGCAAGAGTTGTGAGATCCTTGACATAGACTGAAGCAACTGTTACAGAAGTTTCCAGCACTTGGAAATCTTTGAACTGTTAATGGAGAGCTGATGGAACTACCTTGTGTTAGGTTTGGTGTTTTTTGGTTTGTGTGTTTTTTTTTTTTTTTTTTTTTTTTTCCTTCCCTTGCCCCCCCCCCCCCTTCCGGTAGTGAGAGAGCAGGTAATTGCCTAGAATATGTGCTGTAGAGCTGGGACTTTGAGCCCAAAGAGAAGGAAGATACAAAAGATGTAAATTGATGTTTTACCCAATGTGGAGGTAGAAAGTGTTAGAAAGGAAGTTTGCATAGTGCTGTTGCACTCTGTGACAGCAAGGAAATTACAGTTAAAGGTCTTCTATCTTTTAGTTAATTTCACTAATTCTCTTCCTAATCAGCTTTATACAAAAACTGTGATCTGATGTGGAAGCAAAGCGTTTGGACATCGACTATTTCCAGCCACCTAGCCACAAAATATCTGAAAGAAGGCGGCCTCTTGACTTTGACGGGAGCTCAAGCTGCTTTATCTGGGACCCCAGGTAAAATTCAATGCATGATGACCCCTGGGACGTCAGCGGTTAGTTAGTCTGAGCATTCTTGTTTGTGAAGCAACAATTCCACTCCCCATTTTCTTGACATCTAGTACAAATGGAAAACTGCTGCTGAAGCACTTAAGGACAGTGTAGTTTTACAGATAGCAATACTGAATCTCTTGAAGCTGGAGTGCAAACAGAATCAGTATTTGAATGATATTTGACATGTGTTTGTGAAATGTACTTGGCTAATATATGATACAGTAAAAAAAGTTCAGAAAATAATGAGGAATAGAAGCACACAGCAAACTTCAAGTACAGTGCTTAAAGTTGAATCTCCTATTTGTGTTCTGAAAGGCAGAGTCCTTAATTGCCCAATTTTTCCATTGGTGATGACTCAGCTGATTCCGTTAACTATGCTTGTCCTGTTCACGTTCTGATTCCAGTCTGCGTTTGCTTCAGACGTAGGTAATCTTGTTGACCTTCAGCTTTGCCCTGCACTAGCTGTTGGATATGAACTTTGTTGAGTTTTTTCATCTTGCCCCTCACCATGTTGATCTGCGTGGAGGAAGAAATCTGGGAGCAATTTAAAATAAAAAAAACCCCAAACAAACAGACAAAAAACCCCCACTGACACACAAGCCCACAGGCAGGGAGAGGAAACGTTTTGAGACAAATACTCTTATTTCCCAATCTCTTATTAGTGTGACTTCAAGAATACTTTGATGAGACATAGATACTAAAGTTTTAAAATTTACAAAATTAATTAATATTCTTGAAAGCTGTGTCTAAAACTCTTCAGGAAAAATATGCTATATTTTCTAGTTAATGATTTGTCTTCTGTGTTTACGGCTGCATCTGGCGTAGTCCGAAGATAAAAGGCTTATTTTATGAGACTAAGCAGATGAATAATTTACTGTGCCCTACTGACTGACCATATACAAATGAAAAAATGTGTGCTCTGGCAAATCTTCACGGTTTTTGTTTGGGTGGTTTTGTGAGGTAGGGACACCACACAGGGATCAAAGTGATTTACTTTCATGTTTTGAAGTAGCTGGTTTCAACTAGTCTGGATTTCTCTAAAAAACACAGCAGTGCTTTGGGC